TTTTATACAATTTTACTTGATCGATAATATACCACATTCTTTAATATAAATATTAACTGCCAAAAACTTAAGAATTTTAGGGTTTAATGAAATAAAGTCATTGTATGAGTAAACTCTTGAATTGCAAGAATTAAGCGGATATTATCACAATTATCATAATTTTTCCACATTGATTTTCTTTTTATTTCAAGTCCAACAAATTTATGTTAGTATATAGATTAAGATATACTTAACATTTTTTTGTACATGTACTATAATATATCATTAAACATCTATTTAGAAAATACTTTATGCATTTTCAGGTCCTTTAATATTGTACAAGTATATATAACTTTCAACTGTCTAGTATATATAACTTTCAACTGTCTGAACTGCATGTACTGGCGAGGGCTCATATTCCCAATCAGTATTTTTCACCTTACTATTATACATGTCTTACTAGAATAATCTGTGAATTTCATACCAGCAATGTATTCTGCAGTGTTAATTTGAAATCCTTTTATTTTTCAGATATGTTGAAGATTTTTCTGGTGTACCGGACTTTTCCTTGTATGACATTTTCAATTATTTGTTGTTGCACCGTTCAGATTACGATAAAAAGAAGTTGAAAGCTTATAAGAGTGCAGAGGACTACCGCTTGTTTTACGATGGACATGTCCAGGAAATGAAAGTCAACTACTTAAAAGATGACAGCTCAGTTTGTGTTTTTATAGGAAAGGTGAGGCCAACACAGAGGGCAAAGACGTTGACTGGGAAGATGACCTACCAGTGCTGGTTTGTTGTTGAGAAGACTCTAGGTGATGTTAAAGCAGCTTACTGTGAATGTCCAGGAGGGTAAATATAAAAATATTATATTTGACAAATTCTCGACCCACTCTAGTTTCTATTGTAATATAAAAATAAGAAGATGTGGTATGATTTCCAATGAAACAACTCCCCACAAGTGACAAAATGACAGGGAAAGTAACATCTATAGATAACCATACAATCTTCAACAATGAGAAAAACCCATAGGGAATAGTCAGCTATAAAAATTTTGAAATGACAAATGTAAAACAATCCAAAATAAAATGCTCCGCAGGGCGCAGCTTGATACCACCGCAGAGGTCGAACCCTGAACAGTTGGGGCAAGTATGGACACGACATTCAAGCTTGATACAGCTCTGAATTTGGATTGTGATTAAATATTTGACACAGCATAGGTTTCTGACACAGAATGAATGTGGTCTAAGAACTTAAACATTTTAAATTGGACATTCACCTATTATGGTCCAATATCCAAAATCTAAATACATGGTTAGATTCAGCATATCAAAGAACCCAAAGAATTCAATTTTTGATGAAATCAAACAAAGTTTAATTTTGGGCCCTTTTGACCTCAATGTGGACAAAGTTGATAACGGGGCCCAAAAATCAAAAATCTAAATACATGGTTAGATTCAGCATATCAAAGAACCCCATATATTCAATTTTTGTTGAAATCAAACACAGTTTAATTTTGGACCCCGATTTGGACCAACTTGAAAACTGGGCCCATAATCAAAAATCTAAATACATGTTTAGATTCAGCATATCAAAGAACCCTAAGAATTCAATTTTTGTTAAAATCAAACTTAGTTTAATTTTGGACCCTTTGGACCTTAATGTAGACCAATTTGAAAACGGAACCAAAAATTAAGAATCTAAATACACAGTTAGATTCGGCATATCAAAGAACCCCAATAATTAAATTTTTGATGAAATCAAACATAGTTTAATTTTGGACCCTTTGGACCTCAATGTGGACCAATTTAAAAACGGGGCCCAAAATCCAAAAACTTAATACACGGTTAGATTCAGCATATTAAAGAACCCCAAGAATTCAAGAATAAAACCCCATTGAAATTGGTCAAGAAATAAGCAATTTATACGAAGTATCTTCTTTTGCACAATACTGTGCAATTGAATATTTCTTGCTATTGCGCAATACTGCACAATTGACAATTTCTTGCTATTGCGCAATATTGTGCTATTGGATATTTCTTGCTATTGCGCAATACTGTGCAATTGAAGATTTCTTGCTATTGCGCAATACTGTGCAATTGAAGATTTCTTGCTATTGTGCAATACTGTGCAATTGAAAATTTCTTGCTATTGCACAATGCTTATTATATAATAATTTACACATCCTGTTTGGTGTGTATCTCCTACCATATCATTATTATTTGCTTTTAAATATAAATCAGAAATAACCAACTTAAAATGGAAATTTTAAAAGAAAAAAAAAAGAAAAAAAAGAAAAAAAAAGGAAAAAAAAAAAAGTCCCCCCCCCCCCACCCAAATTTTTTGAACCCCCTTATAATTCATCACCCCCAAACTCAATCCCAGCCTTCCCTTTGTGGTATGGTACCTTGCAGTACAATTTCAGAGAGATGCATACACTTGAACTCAAGTTATTGTCTGGAAACTAGAAAAATGTGTTTTTTGGCCCCTTTTTGGCCCCCAATTCCTAAACGTTTCGGGCAATTACCCCCAAACTCAATTCCAGCTTTCCCTTTGTGATACGGAACCTTGTAGTACAATTTCAGAAATATGCAACACTTACAGTACACACAGAGAGGATGTAATCTCATACTCCCAACACTGATTCTGGTGTAACACAGTGTCATACTGTGAAACACAGATTTCTCTCCCAAAAAACACCAAGTAATTACTCCCATCTGGGAGGGTTTTATGACCTGTTGATTGCAGGTAAGAGTAATAAAAATCAACAAAGCACGACTGCATGGTCTGACAGTGACATAATTACAGGTCAACTATTCTCTCACTTCTTCCTATTTCAATCATTTCCTATTTAGTTTTATTTCTGAAAGCACTAAAAAAGGTTAACGAAATTATTTTTAAAATTTTTATACAAATATGTATTTTTAGATTGGAAAATTATTTACATTCTTTCATAATCTCATAATCAAGAATGGCAACTTGATATTTACAATAAGTTGTATTTATAGTCAGTTTAAACATATAGATATTAGTATATACATGGTTTAAAAAATAATAGTAATGATACAAAAAAAAATAATGAATAAAATAAAATAATGTAGATAAATTACATATATATATTATATTTATATAATCTTCCTTTATTTCTTATCATTTAAATTTAGAAAAAAACGATTGAATAAATTCAATTAAAATATATGTCTTTATTTTCTATTAATAATACTCCACTTACAGGTGATGTTTTGTTTGTTTTTGTATGTTTCTTAGGTATGAAAAACCAACACTGTCAGAACAAATGCTGAATATAATTTTAATAAATAAAGTTGTACAGGATTCTTTAATAAAATCAGATTATAATATGTCTCTGATTAAATTTAACAAATCTCACACTTTTCATCATTTTTGTGACTGTCATTTAATGACAGGAAACACAAGAAATGTTTATTGTAGTCATCAACTACTGGCACACTTCAAAGGTAATCATAGCAATAAAAATCATGTTGTTGGGAGAAACCACACCAAGGTAATAAACAATTAAGGAGTTTTAGGGAGGAATTACTCCAAGTTTCTCCCAATTTCCTCCCAAGATTTGGAGAGAGTTGCTGGAGTTTCTTGGTGTGACACCAAGTTTTTACACAGTGTAGGGAGTATGAGATTACATACTCTCTGTGTGTACTGTACACACAAGTTTTTGTCATGGAACTAGAAAAATGCTTTTTTTGCCCCTTTTTTGCCCCCTAATTCCTAAAATTTTGAGGCAATTACATCCAAAATCAATCCCAGCATTCCCTGTGTGATATGGAACGTTGTGGTACAATTTCACAGAGATCCATACACTTGAACACAAGTTATTCTCTGGAAACTAGAAAAATGCTTATTTTTGGCCCCTTATTACTAAACATTTTAGGCAATTACCCCCAAATTCAATTCCAGCTTTTCCTTTGTGATATGGAACCTTGTAGTACAATTTCAGGAAGATCCATACACCAACACACAAGTTATCGTCAAGAAACTAGAAAAATGCTTGTTTTTTGCCCCTAATTCCTAAATTTTTGAGGCAATTACCCCCAAAATTAATCCCAGCATTCCCTTTGTGATATGGAACCTTGTGGTACAAAATCAGAGAGATCCATACACTAACACACAAGTTATGTCTGGAAGTTACAAAAATGCTTATTTTTGGCCCCTTATTTCTTTAAAGGTTGGTACCATAACCCTGAAAATCAATCCCAACCTTCCTTTTGTGGTATTGAACCTTATGGTAAAATTTCATAGAGATCCATTCACTTAAGGGGGTAGGCCTCAGTAACCCTAAAATTTTCCCATCGTTTAATATTTTTTAAATTTACACCATTGAATAGGTATGCCTCAATACATGTTCTGGCAAAGTTTTAACAAAATTGACCGTCTTGTTCTAATTTTAGAATTGATTGAATATGGTCAATTTCGGCCATCATTTAAGCCAGTCCAAAATACCAATAGGTATATATATTCGTTTATTTAAGAAAATGCATGGCATAGAATATGACTGTTACTATTGGATTGTATAATGGTATCATATTCTAAAGTAAATATGAACTGTAATTGGTATATGTGATATTTTTAAATGAAATGCAAGGTGAGAACTAACGGATACATATAAAACTTGGGTAAGTCTCATTTGGCACTTTCTATATATAAATACACGTGGAAAAATATTTTGTCGTTTAATTTGCATATAAAAATGCTGGAACAAATATCAGTCATATAATTTTCAAATGACAACTTTTTATTAATTTTCACCGTTTAAATTTTACAAAAACTTTGATCAAAGTGACCTAACGGACCCCCCAAAAATAGGGTCTTTTGAAGAAAATAATCAAAATTGACATCTATAAACCCTCATAGCTACAATTTACGGTATGAAAGTGCAAAATGTTGTTTGATATATGTGATAATTCCGTTGTTCATTTGAAACAGCAATTATCTTCAATATGCGGATCCCGGGCGGAAAAAGGGGGGGGGGGGGGGGGGGGGGGGGGGGGGGGGGGGGGGGGGAGGGGGTGGGGGTGGGGTGCTAATAAAGAAACGTAAGGAGTGGAACTTGGATATAGTCTATGCTCTCCTCCATGAGTGGTTGCTGGTTCGTGACACATCCTTCTCCCACCTATGTATGCATTAAGTAACTATAGCCCCCCTACATAAATATAGGGCAAAATGACATTTCATCACTATGACATTGGTTACATTCCCCTGGACTACAACCGCTCCGTCAGTTTTTTTACATGTACGTTGGAAGGCTGTGGTAGCAACAAGGACAAAATCCTTCACTTTCTAAATACTTTCTGTGCTAATGCGAGTAAATTGTTAGCTTTAGCTTGTATTTTGATAGTAGTTGAGATCTTATCACCAAGAGCACAACATGCAGTAGGCTGCTGATCAGGCTGATAATTACTAATACTACTATACTAGGTTTCAGATTTTGATCTGACAAGCCTCATCGACTCCTGAAATTGCATCCATATTATCATAAGATCTTGGTAAGACTACTGAAATTTGTAAATCATTATATCATATTGTAAACGCCAGTTTTTTCAGGTCTGCATGTCCCTCTTTGCATTATTTTTAAAAATATTCATGTCGACCGGTCTGCATGAGATCTGATCTACATGTGTCATAAAACACTTACCAAGGGAAAGATAAAATACAAATATTTCAACATTTCTATTATCATGATTATATGTAGTTTGAAAGTTGATTCATGGTCTCAGTAGAACTAGTACATGTATGTCCAAAAATAACAGTTTGTTATATATCTGCTCTATAGACTATAGTCACTGATAGTTACATGTAGTAATGGGGTATATTTTATATAACAAATGTATTCATAAGATATTGTGACCTGATAAGTGATATCTGTCACATTGTGGACATGCATGCAAATTTCATTGAATTTTCTTAGGAACTACAAACCAAGGCTTTGTGGGTTTTTTTTTAGATTTTTTTGGAAATGAAATCTCATCTGTATTATACTGTTTGATGCATTTTCACTTCCATCACATTCCAACTTCTTGTTTATCAAATATTTAGAACTGGGATATTGTAGTGATCAACAGCTCACAGTTCCAACTCGTTAAAACATTTTTAGATTGCTGTCTCATTGATAGGAACCCTGTTATTTCTTCCATCTATACATGCATTCCGCTGAACAAGTATACATTATCAATGTTTTTGTTAAGGGGTCAGATGAGGATAGCCTCAGGATCAAGATTTTCTTGCTGTGTTGAAGACCCATTGGTGGCTTTGCATGGGCTGTTTTGTTCTCTTAGGTCGGGTTGTTGTCTCTTTGACACATTCCCTGTTTCCATTTTCAATTCAACACAAAAAACAACAGAAATAAAGCTTGAAGGAAGAATGTATGTTTTTTTTCAGGTTTCCAAAATAAAGGAAATAGGGTACAGAGTGTAGCTATATTTTTTCCCCTAAAATATCAAATCATTTAGTACCAAAATAGTCAAATGACACTTTCATTTAAAAATAAACCAAGGTATATTAGGGAAACCTGAAAGTCATGCATTTTATTTGAATCTTAGTCATTTGTAGTAAAATTGTACACTGTTTCATAACAAGGTGACATATAATAATGCAATATAAATGGGTCAGTAGCCTATTACTTTAAAAAAAAAAATACAAATGAAAGCCAAAGTCATAATATTAGGAGTAAATGGTGATAAATCTAATCACACTTATCAGCTTCTAAAATAACACAGCCCTTATTATCACAATTATGTTGACTGTCAGAATAAAGAATCCATACGTCTTTACAAAATAAATCCTTCATAACAGTTCTTGAATTAATCTTTTGTATCTAAATGCACAAATTTCTACAATTTTTTACTGTGTTTTCACATACTTAACATATTACGTTAATGCTGAACATGTATATTGATAATATTGACTTTCTAACATTAGAATTTGTCGTTTGCAAAGTCTTATATTTCTGTCCATCTTTGCACTAAGACAGAGAATTTCAAACAACATTATAACAAAGATGGCAACTAATTGTTGTGTAGGTAGTTCCATCGGCTTCATTTTACAATAAGATAATCAATGTTTTCAGTTTTCTACAATTTGAACTTGTAGGTAAATAGAAATAAGAAGATGTTGTACATGTACGATTGCCAATGAGACAACTATCAAGACCAGAGTTCAAGTGAATTGGATGTAAGCAATTATAGGCCACAGTGCGGCCTTTCACAATGAGAAAAACCCATAATGTATTATTGTAACCTAACTGTACTAAAGGCCCAGCCATGAAAAATGTGAAATTTATATATATATATATATATATTATTTGGCCAAACACCCAATAGATATAAGAAGATGTGGTATGAGTGCCAATGAGACAACTCTCCATCCAAGTCACAATTTGTAAAACTAAACCAGGGTTTCACACTAAGGCAAGTCCATGAGTCCTGGACTCATGAAAATCTGTTTGGACTCACCATTTTCAAACCTGGTGAGTCCAAAGATGCTTCAAGATTGAAATATTTTGTATAAACTGAACACACATATCATCATTTTATAGCAAAAGTTTAAAAGAAATCTGAATTTAATGTAATTTCATTGCTCTATTAGGTCATGGAGGCTAAAATAATAAATTGTATTGTGATAAAATATCTTCTTCTTACTGTTGGACTCACCATGGCCAAAAACGATGAGTCCCTGGACACGCCTTCAAAAATCCGTAGTGAGAACCCTGGTCAACCATTATAGGTCAAAGTACGGTCTTCAACACGGAGCCTTGGCTCACACGGAACAGCAAGCTATAGAGGGCCCCCAAAATGACTAGTGTAAAACCATTCAAACGGGAAAACCAACTGTCTAATCTATATAAAAAACAAGAAACGAGAAACACTTATGAACCACATCAACAAACGACAACTACTGAACATCAGATTCCTGACTTAGGACAGGTGCAAACAAATGCAACGGGTTTAAACGTTTTAATAGGTACCCACCTTCACCCTTATCTGAAACAATAGTGTAACATCACAACATAGAAAGACACACTATAAAATATCAATTGAAATAGCTTAACTCAATCAAAAGACATATTAACACAAGTGAACATACACTGAATGAATAAATTTGATCTATGATACAAGTCTTAATGTTTTTTTTAAAAGTAATCCCTACGCAATAAAGATATATACATGTATAACCAGGATGGTTTTCCAAAAAGAGAGAGAAAAATCTTACTAGATTAATGGTGTCCTTTCACAATGAAATCTAGTTACTGATGCTTTAACCAAATCAGCTGAATGGCAAAATTTTATGTGCATATTTTTTTTAAAATATGTATGCTTGGTTACTAGTTAAAAGCTGAATCAAGTCAGATATTTAGCTCTAATTTTTGCATTTATCGTAAAATGTTCCAAATATTAAAGTTTCATTCTTAAATCAGAAAAGGTAACTTTTATAAAATCCATAAAATAGAATTACCAATATCTTTCCAAGACAAAACACAATATAAATACATTGTATACTTGATGGTGTACAATTTGACAAGATAAAACATTATGTGCATTTTAATCTAAGAACAGTATTCCTGCAACGGAAATTTCTTTTGTCATGACTATAAAATTTACTGTTCAGTTGCAAAAGCAGCAACGAATACAGAGGCAGTTTTGGAAGGAATGTTAAACTCTTGTAACAATAATCTTATTCCATTTGCATCTCTTCTGTTAGCTATCTGTAAGTGTGATAAAGATATGCCATTTTTTGCAAGTCTAATGCAAGTGTCTCTGCTTACAGTTTTGTTTTGAACTAAATTATCATAGGAAGATTTGCAACTACAATAGCAAATGCTATGAATATCATTATCTTTACATTTATTCTTCATTTCTTGGTGAAAGAGATGTTGAAGAGACTGTACATCTTCTATGGCATTGTGTGCACTGTATTCCAACCCAACATACTTTAAAATAAGAGTTGATTGTTTGTAATTGTCTACTTCATTTCGGGGGAAAATTCTTTTAGCTATTTTAAGTGTGTCCAGAAATCCAGAAGTAACATTACAAAAAGAAGAAAATAAGCTGAATTCTTTCAATTTGTTTGAGAGTATTGCAATGTCAAAATTACAGATGTTATGTCCAACAAGGAGTGGATTTTGAATTGTTTTTAAAAATTCAATAAAATCTAACAATGCTTCATACTGGGATTTGGTTTCCACTTCCTTCCCATGAACATACATTTTATTCTTAGCCAAACAGCAGGTAATTCCTGTTACTTTTGAGGCTTCAACAGAAATATCACATCTTGGTAAAATGTAAGATTGATATAGTGTCTTATCATAAACAGCTGCTATCTGAGTAATATCACTAACTCTGCTTAAACCTGTCGTTTCAAGATCAAAAAATGTAAATGATTCTGTTCCGTCCAGTTTCAATGGCGATGGAATAGTTACGGCCTCAGTATCTGATAATCCTATCGTTGCAATTTCTGGTTGATATGAAACAGATTCATGGATAGTGAATCGCCTTTCTTTCTTATTCCTTTTTTTCTTTAGTTCAGTTCTTTTTTTCTTGAACTCGCGACTTCGCCTTTTAATCCTTCTTTTCAGTTTCTCTTTATCCAGTTTCTTTGCAATACTTTTTGTGTATTCTCCTGGAGATAGAAGTGCAGCTTCATTCATCTGAAATATTATGATGTAAAATTTAACACAGAGATATGTCTTGCCTTTTTCGTAATTTTGGTAATGCAAATGTTGAAATTAAAAAAGCAATACTTTAACATGTAAGTTATGATAAGGGGGTGGGGGCTATATAATCTCCATAGAAACGAGACTTGCAATTGCCAGTAAATTTGCATACCAAATATCATTGACTTAACATTAGGGATTCACCTTAAACTGATCACAAACTAATACATGTAAACTAAGTCAAAGTATTAAAGTCAAAAGACCATGAATGAGGGGGCAGGGCCAAATATTCTCCATGAAAATGAGATGAGCTAATCCTTATACAACTTTAGACCAATTAACATTGGCCTACCACAAATGGTTCCCCTTGAACTGACCTAATCACAAACTAATACATGTAAACTAAGCAAAAGTTTCAAAGTTAATAGACCATGACTGAGGGGACAGGGCCAAATAATGTCTGTGATAAGAAGATGTGCCAATGCTAATACAACTGCATACCAAATATCATTGAAATATCACAAATATTTATGTCAATTCTATAATTAAAAACAAAAAGAAACATTCAACTGTTAAAATTTCATTTACAAGTATCCTAAGTAACCATAATTCAATTTTATTTATGGAGTTTTTGAAATAAGGATTTACACCTCTGAAGAGCCAAAAATTTCTAGAATTAAACTTGTTTTCTTAACCTGATTTTTGGGTTTATAGGACTGTAAAAAAAAAATTGGTGAAGAAAAAATCATATGGTGGTGCACTTCTTTTTTTGCTATGGCCATTTGAAAGTACCCAATTCTGATAATTTTCCCATTTTTCATCAATTTTTACCCATTTTTGGGCTATTATCATGGAAGAAATCAGTTGCACACTTAAACTTTTTTTAATACTTTCAATAAAGATGAAGGGGACCAATCGGAATAAATTGAACTTAAAAAAACTGTAGGTAGATGTTAATATAAGAAAGTTTTTGTAAAATTTTGTTGCTTTTTCGTGTAATTTTTGACAAAAAGCATAATATTTCAACTTCTTTGTTATAAATGATTGAAAAAATATACATCTAAGAAATTTGAAAAGAACAAAATTATATGGAATGTACATGTTTATGGTAAAATCATTTCTTGTATCCCTCACCCATTTTCCCAACATTTTGGCTGATGAGACTGACTTGATTGGTATTAAAATTTGAAAATTCAATTACCCAAAAACTACTTGCTGTGGATTCATTATTATTCGTTGGATACCAATTTTCAAGGATTTCGTGGGTACAGGTGAACCACGAAATTAAATGTTGAACAAATAACAAATTTTCTAAAGGCTTGTATGCAGACTTCAACAAAACCACGACATTAAATATCCACGAACATGTTAGTTTTCCTTAATCCACGAAAATAAATGAATCCACAGTATTGTAAATACACATTTTTTTCACAGAGTTAATTTTGATTATAATATTTTTTAAATGCATTGTTTTCCACTTGCATCACCTGTGAAAATAAGGAGATGTGGTATGATTGCCAATGAGACAACTATCCACCAAAGTTCAAATGAAGTGGATGTAAGCAATTATAGGCAACCTTACGGTTGTCAACAATGAGAACAACACATTCTGTATAGTCGGCTATAAAAGGCCCTAATGGCTGTTCTTAATTTACTGACATATTGACATACCATAATCTAATTGTATAAAGGATTATCAAAACCTCCAAAAATTCATATTTACCTGTTCTAAGTAATTGTAACCCTCATTCTTTTGAAGCACAGCCGATGACACTCTACTTGCTAGGGATTGTGAACCACCATAGTGTCTGAAATATAAGTAACCTATATGTTTTCTTACAGTCAAACATGTTATGTTTGTACAAATAAATTTTTGAGATAACATGTATTATTGAAAGGATAAAAAATTTAAACCTTTCCTTTGTCCCAATCATACAATATATAATTAGTACACAAATGCATTGATGACTTCCTTCCTACTTTATCTACCTATTGACCATGGGAGACCCTCATGGGTAGTCAAAGTTGTTAAAACAACCCCTAATAGTAGTTTATCTGCTCAGCACAGCAGGCAATGTGTGGTGTAAGTAAATAATGTTAATGGCTGAAAATGAAAAATATTATAAAGTCGATCTATATACAATATAGTAGTTTTTTTTCATTGTTGAAGGCTGTACATATTGTTGCTTATTTTTGCTTACATCAACCTCATTAGAGCTTTGGTGGATAGTTGTTTCATTGGCAATCATAGCACATCTCCTTATTTTTTTGAGTCATTATACCAAATGTAAAACAGTAAAACAATAAAAGCTATAAAGTTTATGGGTGTTTACTTCATGGATTTGATCTAATGTTCCATTCAAGATTACAAAGAAATCTGGTGTAATTTTTGCTGCACACAGTTAGTTTTCAAAATAGGAACATTAATTTTTTTTTCTTCCTGTCATAATCAGACTCATAATGAAAACATAACAAAAATGTATAATGTTGATTTTCAACTTAAGGTAGATTCGTTGTATACCGCCATCTTGGATTGTACAGTAGCAGTACACTATCAGTCCAGTTCTTTGTCTTAATCTGCTAATTTTGAGACAGATTTGCAATTCATGTGTAAGGCTGTTTATTTGTATACAGAAAATAAGTGATTAATTGCATTATTTTAAATGTTAAAACAAATGACAAATATTTGTGTTTTTTAGAATTGATTTTTCAACTTAGCCATTTAAGGGGAGATACCTGTTATAGTAAAAATTTTAGACTGAAATGATAGTGAAATATTTGTTTTTTTACTTCTAGCAAGAAAACAAGTTCGGTGACCCCATTTTTACTTTTTATTTTCTCAAAGCATTTTATAAAGCCTATCTCCTCATATTTCATTTCAAAATTCTATCTCATAGATTTCTTTTTATATACAAAAATATGTTTTTTCATGAACAATCTTTACAAATTTGGGCAATTTACCATGACTTGTAGCTTGAAAAATAGCACGGTGACCCATACTTTTTATTATATTTTTGAAAAAAGCATAGTAAAATCTTCATCTTGGCAAAGTATAAGAAAATTCTATCTTAGGAAATATATACCGATGATCCACTTTAACAATATTGTAGAAATTTTACTCACTTGGACTTCGGAGCCTTTGTTGCTACAGAATGGTTGAAGCTCTCATTAGCCTGTGTGGATCCTAAATTTCTTAGTGAAGATGCCTTGCTTTTATATTTCTCTATAAGATTCTCTAGATCTCTCCTCAAATCTTCACTAATCAAAGGCTTTCCATTAGGAAGGCTTTTATATCTACATAAAAAAAAAATCTTGGAATTTTAAACTAATTTAATTAAGCTATACAATTACTAAATTATTACTGTTAACCTTTAATGTGTTCAACATGGTTTATATTCATGAATATAAACTGTTTATTGCATTGGATATCTGCCCTGATATTAACAGATTAAGCTGACATTTGTCATTTTAAAGTAACATTGATAATTGAAGAATATATATATATACATTTTTAGCTCACCTGGCCCAAAGGGCCAAGTGAGCTTTTCACATCACTTGGCGTCCGTCGTCCTTAACTTTTACAAAAATATTCTCCTCTGAAACTACTCGGTCAAAGTAAACCAAACTTTGCCACAAACATCATTGGCGTATCTAGTTTAAAAAATGAGTCCGATGACCCGGCCCGCCAACCAAGATGGCCAGCATGGCTAAAAATAGAACATAGGGGTAAAATGTAGATTTTGGCTTATATCTCTAAACCAAAGCATTTAGAGCAAATCAGACTAGGGTAAAATTGTTCATTAGGTCAAGATCTCTCTGCTGTAAAATTTTCAGACGAATCAGATAACCCATTGTTGTGTTGCTGCCACCCAATTGGTAATTTTAAGAAACTTTGCAGTTTTTATACGACCACAAAACATTTTTGCAGTCGTATATTGGTATGACGTTGGCGTCTGCCGAAGACACATTGGTTTTCGCACAATAACTTTAGTTAAAGTGAATGGATCTCTATGAAATTTTACCATAAGGTTCAATACCACAAAAAGAAGGTTGGGATTGATTTTGGGGGTTATGGTACCAACAGTTAAGGAATTAGGGGCCAAAAGGGGGCCAAAAATAAGCATTTTTGTAATTTCCAGACAATTACTTGTGTGTTATTGTATGGATTTCTCTGACATTGTACCACATGGTTCCATATCACAAAGGGAATGCTGGGATTGATTTTGGGGGTAATTGCCTCAAAATTTTAGGAATTAGGGGCCAAAAAGGGGCAAAAACAAGCATTTTTCTAGTTTCATGACAATAACTTGTGTGTCAGTGTATGGATCTTTCTAAAATTGTACTACAAGGTTCCATATCACAAAGGGAAATGGGGGTAATAGTCTTAAACGTTTAGGAATAAGGGGCCAAAAACAAGCATTTTTCTAGTTTCCAGACAATAACTTGTGTTCAAGTGTATGGATCTGTCTGAAATTGTACTGAAAGGTACCATACCACAAAGGGAAGGCTGGGATTGAGTTTGGAGGTGATGAATCATAAGGGGGTTCAAAAAATTTGGGGGGGGGGGGGGGGATTTTTTTTTCTATTTTAAGACTTTTATGATGTATTTAAATTGATAATTATGGTTGCAAACTCCATTGGTAATTTGAATTGAGATTATGACCATATTTTGAGGGAAAAACATTTTTTTTTGAAAAAGGGGGGGGCAGGTGAAAAAAAAAATTAAGGGGGGAGGGGGGGTAAAAAAGAAATTGTGGGGGTAATTTTTTTTTCTCATTTCAGATTACAGAAATTAAAAAGAAATTTTTTCAAATAGTATTTCTTTTTGCAAAAAAAAAGGGGGGGGGGTAAATTTTTTTTTCCGGGGGGTTGGGGGGGTCAATTTGCAACAGCATAGTGTATTTCACAAAAGCAAAAAAAAGGGAGGTAATTTTTTTTGGGGGGGGGTGGGGTCAATTTCACAACAGCATAGTGTATTGCACAAAAACAAAAAATTGAATATAAATTCAAATCACATAACCAATTCTAAGTTCTTTGAATACAGTTTTTCGGTGTCAGAAACCTATTATGTGTCAAATATTTATTTACAATCCAATTTCAGACCTGTATCAAGCCCGAATATTGTGTCCATTTTTGCCCCAACTGTTCAGGGTTGGACCTCTGCGGTCATATCCAGCTGTGCTCAGGGAAGCATTTTATTGGTTTATATCTTCAATATTATTATAGAAAGAGATAAACTGTAAACAGCAATAATGTTCAGCAAAGTAAGATCTACTAATAAGTCAACATGACCAAAATGGTCAATTGACCCCTAAAGGAGTTATTGCCCCTTATAGTCCATTTTTAACAATTTTTTGTAAATTTTATAATCTTTTACAAAAATCTTCTCTGAAACTACAGAGACAAATTTAACCAAACTTGGCCACGATCATCATTAGGGTATCTAGTTTAAAAAATGTGTCCGATGACCCCACCTACCAGTCAACATGACCGATGGTGACATGTCTAAAAATAGAACATAGGGGTAAAATGCAAGTTTTGTGTATAATTTTTTGAACTGTTATAAATAGGGAAAATCTGAAAGGAGCAAAAATGTTCAGAATAATGAGCTCTACCAATTATCCATATACGTCAAAACTGTTAGACAAATTTTTATAGGGGTTATTGCCCATAAATGACAAATTTTACCATTTTTTTCATTTTTGTCTTTTATCATGAAAACTATGATATTTAGAGAGAAATTTTTTTTTCTGTTATGCCTTTATATGATTTTAATTATAGTAGATAAATAAACACTTTAAATCACAAAAATTCGTTTACAAGGGTTCCGCGGAACCCAGTATCTCGCCTACTTTTGCTGTTAGTCGCAGGCTCAACAAAAATGGGGAAAAAATTATTAAAAATTTTCCTCTAGATACTATCTTTTGACTGTAAGAAGCTTCTATCCAAGTTTGGTAAAAATCCAGGATTGGTTATGAATCTAATAAATGTTTTAAAAACTTTAACCGCAGACTTTATGTAATGTTAACTGGAAGAAAAACTAAGTCCATTTATAAGTAATATACGGAAAAACATGAAATAAATTTTTACAAAATTTTCTTCTAGATACTAGCTTTTGATCATAAACAAGCTTCTGTCCAAGTTTGGTAGAAATTCAGGATAGTTTAAGAAAGTTATTAAAATTTTAAAAACTTTAACCACAGAGTGAATGTAATGTTAACTGGCAGAAAAACTAAGTCCATTTAATAGTAAAATACGGATAAACAGGATTTTTTTTTTACAAAATTTTCTTCTAGATTCTAGATACTAGCTTATGATCATTAACAAGCTTCTGTCCAAGTTTGGTAGAAATCCAGGATAGTTTAAGAAAGTTATTAAAATTTCAAAAACTTTAACCACAGGGTGAATATTTGTGGACGCCGCCATCGACGGAATGTAGGATCGCTATGTCTTGCTTTTGCGACAAAAGTCGCAGGCTCAACAAAAATGATCAGCAAGGCAAGATCTATTAAAAAGTCAAATTTTGCCGATATAGGTAGTAGACTCAGTCACTCTTCATAGGAGCGATTGCCCTTAAATGAGGATTTTTTTTACCCTCTTTTGTGTTATGAGCAAAAACTAAAGAAGATAGAGAGAAACTAAAACAGACTAAAAGATCAGTAATACAAGATCAACAAAATAGAGATTTTTGTCATGAAGTCTATTCTCGTCTACAATGTTGGAGAGTGTCCTTTGTTTGAAATGCATATAGACCAAGGTGAGCGACACAGGCTCTTTAGAGCCTCTAGTTATGTGTTATTGCTGACCAGAATATAAGTCTCTTTTTTTTATTACATATGACTAGGTAAAAATGTGCTTACAATGACAGTTTCCATATTTATCAATATTAGCATTGTTTCTTGTACAATTGAACTATAATTATATATTAATATAGTATTTTTTTTTATGAACTTATTTTTGTTTATCATCTTCTTTGATTTGTCTCAATGTTTTCCGGAAAAGGGAAATGTGGTTAGATATGAATGAGACGGCAAAGTTACAATTTAAAAAGAACCATAAAAATCATCTTTAGGTCATGCATACTTGAAAGATATAGGATCATCTTTAAATGTACACCAGTCTACTGCACCACACAATCCATGATCTCCAAAGACATGGGGAACAATTCTCGAAAGACCCTCATCAATTTTAAGATCACTGCTGCTGTTCTGTGTAATTGCATACATGAAACATCTGTTCAGATAGGGAATTACTTCTCCTGGCTTCAGCTCCTTGTGCCTACAAAATTATATTTTTTATCATTACATAAGTTGAAACTGAAAATCAGGGTCTAAACTTTGATTTTGTATATCATTTAAAAAGTTCAAATCATAATTGGTACTAAGTTTCAAGTTAATCTGACTACAGCTGCATGGGGATGTTAAATCTATCTTTTATCTAATATTGAGTGAACCTAAAATTTTTTAGACCCCCCCTCCCCAAAAAAAAAATAAATAAAAAAAGGGTGCTCTGTTTTATTAAGCAGTTCCTGATCCACTTTTGGAACCTGTTGTGTTGCTTATTCAAGACAATCAAGTACCAATCCAGTGAACATTAACAATTATGCATGAAGTTCTCAACAATAAATGTTATAACGTTATTTGCTTGACATAGGTGAGGGTGTTGATGAGGGTTTACAGAATAGAAAATTATGGGCAAAAAAAGAAAAAAAGAAAAGGGAATAATGAGGTGCTAAAATATAAAGATTAGAGAAAAATGGACATAAGTTTAAAGAAAAGAGAAAATAGCATACAAAATTAAAGAATACAGAAATGAAGAACCCCCCCCCATCTAGATCCTCATAGGTAAGGCTAGAGCCCAAAAAAAATTATGACTGAAAACATAACTTTTATTACCTTTTAGACAATTCAATCAGTGATTTTGTTATTCCTTTTGTAGTATGATTTTGGTCATCCTTTTTTTTCAAGTTTTCAAAGTCCATTTTCAGTTTCAACATGGTAGTTGAATCATTGTCAGCATGAATGACGTCAATTGGGCATTCATTATCAGTCATCTTATGTGCCATGGAAACAGCCATATCTGGTTCCATAGACTTACTAGACCCATACCAATTTCTACAACAGTCATGACTTGGAACTGTTTCATTCTTTCCCTCATGATGCTCACAAAATTTACAGCTTTTGCTTCTTATATCATAGCAGGTCACTTTCCCTGTTTGTTTTCCTATCATTGAAGCATGTCCTGAAATTCAATATGAAATTACAAATTTTGGTTGAAAAAGAAAATATTACAATTCCATATACAAAAATATAGTTTGTTTGTATGCATACATATGTAGGACTCTAAAGTGCGATGGTACTCTAAAGTGCGATGGTCACGCTAAAGTACGATGGTCTACGCTAAAGTGCGATGGTGTCAGACGCTAAAGTGCGATGGTTGTTTTTTTTTAAGTGCGATCAGATATCACGCTAAAGAGCGATGGTATGACACGCTAAAGTCCGATGGTGTAATGGGAAAGAAAAGCTAGAATTTTCTATTCGGACTAATTTCAGATAGTCACTTTTAAAAGTTTATATAAATTTTCAAAACCACTTGGATTTTCATATCAATTGTATTTTGACCTTATAGAATACCAGGTTGTTTGATAGTTTGGTGTATTGCTGTCAAATTTATGGATTTTATTAATAAGTAAGAAAAAAATCTAAAATTTTCAGTTTAGGCTAAATACAGATAGTCACCTTTAAAACTGTTTTTCAAATTAACTTGGATTTTCATAAAACTCTACACCTATCTCATTCATATATTGATCTTACAGAATGCCAGGTTGTTTGGGAGTTTAGTGTATTGCTATCATTTTTATAGATTTAATAAATAGGTTAAAAAAAGCTTAAATTTTCAGTTTAGGTTAATACCAGATAGTCATCTTTAAAAATTTTTTTAACATTTTCAAATCAACTTGGATTTTCATATAACTCTACAGCTATCTCATTAACATATTGATCTTACAGAATGCCAGGTTGTTTGGTACTTTGGTTTATTGCTGTCATTTTTATGGATTTAGTTAATAGGTTAAAAAAGCTACAATTTTCAGTTTAGGCTAAATTCAGATAGTCACCTTTAAATTTTTTTATAACTTTTTCAAATCAACTTAGATTTTCATATAACTCTACAGCTATCTCATTTATATGTTGATCTTACAGAATGCCAGGCTGTTTGGTAGTTTTGGTGTATTGCTGTCAATTTTATGGATTTAAAAAATAGGTTAAAAAAATCTTAAATGTTCAATTTAGACTAAATTCAGATAGTCATCTTTAAAAATTGGTATAAAGTTTCAAATCAACTTAGTTAATTGGTAAAAGAAGCTACAATTTTCAGTTTAGGCTAATGTTAATAACACTATATATATATGTGGAATTAACTAGCACATTTTGAATTTTGTATTTATACACCAAAGTCTATTCTTTGATTTCCAGACATAAACATGCAAATATTAAAATAGAAAAAGAACCTTAATCATTTTTGATTGTCTTTAAGTCTTAGAGGGGCAAGGACTCTTTTTATAGTTTTTTAGATGGGCAAGGACTTTTTTGCAGAATTTAAAAGGATGGGCATTAACTTTTTTAATGAAATAATATTAAGAATGCACCGGCCCATCCCTCTGGTAAATATTGAACGGTCCCTTACATCAGTGTATTCTTCTATCGGATGTCGTCCTCAATGCATTCTCTGTGTATGTGTATTAAAATACCTTACTAGGAATATTAGCAACATATAATAATTGAATCATTTGAAACCTTTCAATTATAATCAGAAAAGAGAGGGGGGGTCAAAAGTTTTTATGTAGTTGAAAGAGGGGGGGGGTTAAATTTTTTAACACATTTTGAAAAGGGGGGGGTCAATCATTTTTTATCATTTCAAATTTACATTTTGCCGGCCCCCCCCCTGGAGATAAATAATGACCGGTCCCTAATGCTGTCGAACGTTGCTAACATCGATACTTTTGCGGAAAAACGCACTTTAGCGTGTTCAAATGATTAGCACAGACCATCGCACTTTAGCGTGACTATCGCGTTTTAGCGTCCCCATCGCACTTTAGAGTCCTACACATATGTATATCTTGTAAAGTCTGATCATTTTATTAGTTCACAATTGACAAAATATTTGTTTGAAATATGAATAGAAAATTATTGAGGATTAGATGACCCTTAGATCAGTCAGCAAGAAACCCTAAAACTCAATAAATCTAAAATAGTATAGAAAGTCCCTGATCTTAAAGTAGAAATATTTGTCAACGTGAATTAATTGTAAAAATTTGTTTATTACATCTGGTCATAGGTATTATATATTCTTAACTTGAATTCAGGTGCATGTAAGTTAGTAGGTCTACATTCATTACATTATTTTTAGTTTTACCAGCTATTCATACTATACTGACATTGGCTGAAGTTTTCATCAATCTTCAAATTTTGTGTATCTGTCACTATTGAGTTTATAACAATCAGAAAAAGGTTCTTTGGCTTAAATTATTAAGCTTGTTTACATTTAAGTGAGATTCTCATACATGTAACAGTCTTATGTGAAACATTGAACATGTAGACATCACATGCAATTCTGATTGGTATGTATATTAATTAATTGTAATTTATATAGTACTGTAGTTGTACATGCATGTATAGCTAGATTATTAAGGTTTTGATCTTATTAGACAAAAATATAGTTGCAAATTCACCATTAAAATTGTACCAACAAAAATAAATATGTTTAAAATTGAGAATGGAAATGGGGAATGTGTCAAAGAGACAACAACCTGACCATAGAACAGACAACAGCAGAAGGTCACCAACAGGTCTTCAATGCAGCGAGAAATTGCACATTTATAAAGTGCAGGTTTACCTGTTAAGCTATTGTAATTGAATCCTGTCCCACGTTTTTGCCAACCTGCATCAAAACTGACCTCAAGCTCCAACTCCTAAATTACATAAATTTGATAAAAATTAGACATCGCAATAAGGTAGTAAACAAATTATGAATAATTTGAAAATTTATATTGTTCATTTAAATTCTTAAAGAATTATAAAAGACGTAACATAAAAAAGATTAACTTATTTTATTAATCATTTTGAAATTAATTTATTGATCTGTTTTAACACAATATAAATAAAATATATATATATGTTGTGTACAAGATGTACAGTTTTTTTTTTACACATACCTTTTTGCACCAGGTGATAAAAGTTTATCTTCAAAAATTTATCAACTTAATGTTTTAAATTCAAATCTATATACTTGAACCTGAAATTTAGTGCTATTCTCCTTGTTCTAAAGCTGGAAATAAGAACACCTGAATGGTTTAAATTCTATTTTTTTTCCTCTGTATACTGAAATCATATCCATAAAAAGTATTTCTGTGTTCTTATGTTTTTTTGTAAAAATGCTCAGTATAACTATTAGATTGTATCATGTAGTCATGGAAATATGACAGAAGTATGTGAAACAAAAGACTGTGATTGTATCATCCATTTGCATTAAGCAGTTCAATGAAACACTAATAATTTGTACAAAATTCTGTGCAAATTATAATTGGTATACAACATATATATATGTTGTGTACAAATTGTAATGTTGTACAAATTAATTATAATTTGTACAGAATTTTTGTACAAGTTATTAGTGTTTTATGAACTGCTTAACACAAATGGATGATGCAAGCACACAGTTTTTTGTTTCGCATATTTCTTTCATATTTCCATGACTACATGATACAGTTCAATACTGAGCATTGATACAAAAAACATTATAAGAACACAAAAAGACTTTTCATGTATATGATTTTGGTATAAGGAGAAAAATAAAAATAGAATTTAAACCATTCAGGTGTCCTTATTTCCAGTTTGAGGACAAAGAGAATAGCACTAAATTTTAGGTTGGAGTATATAAATTTGAATTGAAGACATGAAACTGATACATTTTAGAAGATAAACTTTTATCACCTGGTGCAAAAAGGTATGTGTCAAAAAACTTATAAATTGTACAAAAACCCTGTACAAATTATAATTTGTACAAAATTACATCTTGTACACAACATATATATATATAATTCTATTGATTTATTTTTTATTTTGATTTATAGATGGACATATATAAGATTGTTCTTTTGAATTCTTATGTTTTTAATTGTTGGAGAAGTTATATTTTTAATTGTAAATGTAAATTACTTTTCATTCAATTCAGAAAATGATGCTTTTTCCATGTTTAGGCCAATTAAAATTAATTGATAGATTTTCATCCCCGCCCGCCCCTCTGAAATCGTTCCGCCCCAATTTTTTTTATTTTGAAAAATTTACGATTTCCGGATTTTGTTCATTTTCGTTACCGGTAACTGTCGATAATTTCGTTTCATTAATAACATCCTGTTTCAAATTTTGGTTTTTGCATTTCTTTGTATGTTTGATTCGTTATACATGTATATACATGATAGAACCTTATTATTACACTTGCATATATGAAGAACACGTCACAAGAGCGTTTCATATCTAATAAAAAATAAAAAATAAAATCCTCCCACCCACCCCATTTTTTTCAAAAATTTGGATGAAAATCTACTAATTAAATTTACTTGGCCTTATGTAGCCCTAATTACAAATTGTGTTAATATTTTATCTGTACCTTTAGGACAAGTTTTGTGATTTCGGGGCCTTTTATAGCTGACTATGCAGTTTAGGCTTTGCTCATTGTTGAAGGCCGTTGGGTGACCCATAGTTGTTAATTCCTGTGTAATTTGGTCTCTTGCAGAGTTGTGTCTCATTGGCAATCATACCACATCTTCTTAATTTTTTATATATATATATATATATATACCGGTATATGTATATATATAATTCGTCTAAACGAACAGCCCAATAATGTTAGATCTATAAATTTGCGGAAGTATATATATATATATATATACACATGTATACATATATAAGTCATATTTGAAAGAGGTCCAGAAGTAGATTAAAATAAGTCAAATATATCATATAGTATTACCTTATCTGTAGAAATTTCTTTTTCCAGTTGTTGAGCTTTCTTGCAGGATTCTTCAGCAGCAGATACAAAGATTTTTCCAATTTTCTTCTCATGTTTTTGGAAACAAGACTTACTCATGACTGGCAAGTTACATTCTGTCAGAAAGTTTCTTATTTGTGCATATCCTAAGCCAGCATGTATCATTCCTACATATAAGAAAGCATTTTATGAAACAAAAATTACATTTTGTAGAAACCAACTATAGTTCAACTTCAATCTATATAATTGAAATGTATTTTTTCCACAAACTTTTCCTCTCAGTAGAACTAGTTACTTATTTTGCTGTTATATTGGAGTGAGACTATTTCAGTTGAACCCATCATGTTTTTTGATGGTTTTAGATTATTCACATGAAAAATGTCATCACAAAAACAGTAGCAATTATATTTTAAATTAATACTACCTGATTACATATAACTCTTTGTTTCGTACATACATCAGGTTAGTTTTCCCGTTTGAATTGATATACATTTGTAATTTCTGGACATTTTAGAGCTGCATGGTTATGCCTTATGGGTTTTGCTCATTGTTGAAGGCTGTTTGTTGACCTCTAGTTGTTAATTTCTACATCATTTGGTCTCTGATAGAGAGTTGTTTTATAAGCATTCATACCACAATCATACCACATCTTCTTATTTTTATGATTATTCTCATAACACTTTATATACAATATCATTTCATTGATTTAAATACCAATTAATTTGATATTTAAGGAGAACCTTTGTATTAATCTCAGAATAAATACCAATATTTGTACAATGTTATGTTATGTTGAAAATGTGTCTCAAAATTTCACATTTAGCTTTTGATGCTCAAACAATTGGAAATGACTTAGTTTTATTTCAGTGGTAACAGCTGTGTCATACATGTCAGGGGCAGATTTAGGAGGGGGGGGGGGGGGGGGGGGCTGGGCCCCCTTTTTGTGTGAAAAAATTGGTTGATAATATAGGGAATCACTGAAGCATGACTGCAGCAGGCCACCTCTTAGGCAGTCAGTTGGTCCCCACTTATGAAAATTTCTGGATCCGCCACTACATGTACTAAGTTTTCACAACCAAATAAAACCATTGGTTTTATAGAGTGATAAAAGAAAAGGTGCAGTAATATATTTTAAAATATGTTGAAACTGGCAAATATTTTTTGGTAAATTTGGAAACTGACCTAAATTCCTTGTACTCTCTTTAATCTTCTTTCATTTTACTCACTACTTAAGGTATGTCTAGCTACATAGAGACATACATGTAAGGACAATAACCACCATGTGGAGAATATATATATTTGCCTACCATAGTCTACCCTTTTCATTTTTAAATTTCTATCCTACCATAGTGGTATTTTTAGGTTATCTGTATTAAGATATCTTTTATCTTTACCACATTGGTATTTTTTTTTTAACTTTATTAAATACCCACATTGGTATTAGATTAGAATACTGTTTATATAGTTTCTCATTGTTCATGAATCATATTATGTTATCATTTGTCAATAAACATTTTGTAGAACTGTAGATTTTTAACATTTATTGCAATTAATGTTTTTTGTATAAACTTTGAATATCCATTTTATATTTTTGATACTTGAAAATATCTGTCCTTTCAGTTCAGTAGTTATAAATGTCTTTTTTGAAACAAAACAAAATTTGGAAGACAATTTCAAAAGGGGAAACCACAGGGGAAGTAACTCTACACACAATTATATCCAATAGATGCAAAAATAATAGTCAATCTCATCATCTCTAAAATATTATCTACAAATACATTTCTGAATATACATGTATGTAATTGTCTTCTTTTGTTGGGTGAAATAGGAAGTGTACCCAATATTGGCAATAGGAAAAAAAAGGGTAAAACTTTTCAAAAGAAATAGGTGGATATGCTTAACTTAACACGAACATTGTTTACATTTTACATAAAATTAAAAAAGTAAATTTTGATAAAATACGTAAATGCAATTGATATTTATTAAAGTATTTACCTATGACTATCTTAGCAGTGATGTCGAATGATCCAGTTGGACCCACTTTTCCCGTTGGCACGTCTGTTACCGTTCTGCATTCTGTGTTGGTGCATAAAATTTGAAGATAACTGCCGAATCCGGCCGTCCGTTCATGGAGGGTATCATGCAGGTGCAACGGAACATTGCACCTGCAACAATACATTTTATCTGCCAGTACGCCTAATTCTACTATACGTCTCCCCACCTTCCAATTGCTGTCAATCATTCCTTCATTCCCGGCCACTTCCTCCTCCGCCCCGATATCCATGTAATTATGTTGCACATATGTGTGATCATTTGTTTCTTCAATACTAATTTGTTTGAACGATTTGTTCAAAGTTTTGAAAAAGTTAGAACGCTTAGACTTCTTTTTGGATTCAAATAAACCCCTCATTGTGGTTATCGTCTGTCAATGTCAGTATCCAAGGTAAACGATCTGTGTACACAGATGCTTGAAATTGAGTGCCTTAATAAAACGCATCAATGACTTCAAGTAGATGTGTACGAGTTATTTCCCTTACCCCAGGTCTACCACCTTAAACTAAAGTTAGAGTGCGAAAACCAATGTGTCTTCGGACGACGACGCCAACGTCATACCAATATACGACCGCAAAAATTTTTGCGGTCGTATAAAAAAAGCTAATGGTCTGATTTATGTACAAAATTGTGAAAGAAAAACAAATATGAAATATTTCAACAAACAATGACCCTTTTATTACAGATTCCTGACTTGGGACATGCACATACACAATGTGGTGGGGTTAAACTAGTTTGTAAGTACATTTGTATGACAACCTCAAGTGCAGGGTGATGAGGTATAAATAATTCATTGCTATTAAAGTCAAAACTCAAGGTTGGTTTTCTAGCTTCTGTGTCCAGTATTTGGCAGGTAGAAGTTAACAATTCTGCTGATGTAATTTGATGACTTGCAATCTAAAACGCTCATGTTTAGTAAACCGTTTTTAAGATATTAGTATTATACAGATCATTTCACAAATGAACATGTATGCATGTACTAACTTTCTCTAAATACAATTTTATTGCAGTGCTGATGGAGCTTGTCGTCATGTTGCAGCATGCTTATACGAGTTGGAGGCATTTGAGAAGAAGTCTGTTACTGACGGTCCTTGCCAGTGGAAGAAACGAAAGAGGGAACATGATGAGCCAGTAGAGGTGGAACGAATGAAGATTATCAAGCCAAGGTTTTAACTTAATCATTTTTTATCTTTAGCACTGGTAAAATGAAAAAATGAATAAAAATATTCTAGATTTCCTCATATATTACAGTATTTAGTATATATATATAGAATATTCCTCATATATTACAGTATTTAGTATATATATATAGAATAATACATGGCAAAATCCGTATCGCATGCTGTATCACCACCAGAAACCAATATCAGTCCCGAGGGCTGATATTGGTCAAGTGGTGATACAGCATGCGATACGGATTTTGTCATGTATTATTCTGTTTATCATATATTTAAATAGAATCAGATTAATGTCATATATGTTTTTTTTTTAAATCGTCCGAAAATATAACAAACAAAAGAACATAAGGATTTTCCTGTATTTTTCCAGGTGACTTAGTTTTTTGTAATAGACTTCCTTATTTGCTTAATATCCACATCGTAATGTCCCCTACAACCTTATTACATGCTCAATATAGAGCTATGAAACTGGCAAATAATATACTTTAAGACCATGTATTTAAACGCATTCACTAACAATAGTGTCAACTGTTCCCTCCTGTAGAATACAACCCACCTTCTCAATATTTGTTGTTAAATTTAATCATTATACTACAATCTGAACTCATTTGTATACATAAATATGGACAACAATGTTGCCACTTATCACATATTCAAAGATTATTAACAGACAAACAGGGGATTCCAATATACACAGTCATTGGACAAAAGTGAGTTCCCACTAAAAAAAACTTATTGTATCTATTTTATAAAAATCGCTTATAAAGTTCTACTGGGTAATATTTTTTTTGAAAAATATAGATTTGAGTTGAAATGATATGACATTTCTTTAGTGGGAACTCACTTTTTTCCTATGCCAGGAAATACAGCAACTGGACGTCATAGGTCAAACGTTGACATCATTTGATTTATGACGTCACGCCAGGTATGTGATACGGATTTAGCTATGCGATACAGGTTTAGCTATGCGATACGGGGTATGCGATACAGACTGAAAAAAAGAACCTTTATTAGATATACAAAATTGCTATATTTTGTACTAAATATATGATAAATACATGTATATCATATATATATGTTACACACAGATCGACATCTGGCCTCGAATCTAAAAAAAAACCATTTCAATGCATATTTTTTTTATATATTTATTAGGAATAAGTTATTTTAATAAGAACTTTGTTTTCATTTTTCTTGTCGCTAAATAGTCTTCTTGTCGCTAAAATATTCTTCTTGTCGCTTCTTGAAGTTTCTTTCGCTACTGAAAACCTTGAAATCCTAAATACATACAATGCCAACATTTTATGCTTTACCAATAAATACATTTAAATATTGTAATATCCCAAAATAGGAGGATGGAAGCATGTGTATCATCAGCAGACCATGTAGTATCCAGTTTTGATCCTAGACAGATGGTTGACAGAGCTGCAGAAGACGAGAAGATAAAACAGTTTGCAAGTAAATTAGCACAGGTATAACAACAAATAATTTAACAACACGCCCACCGGTTTTATTGGTGGATACACTATACATTCAAGTACAGCGCCCTCTAGTGACTCCTCTTGAGGTTTGAAATCATATTGTACAGATATCTTTATTGTATTTAATTTTTAAACCTCAAAATGAAGTCTTGAGCAGAACTCGTGTCCATTACAAATAGGTATCATGGTGCTTACACATGGTGCATAGTTATAACATACACCAACCATTCTTGTAAAGTTAAAGGACTGACAAAATTGGACAGTAACATTTACAAATTCAAAAATATTAACAGCAAAAAATTAATCAAAATAATTATTTTTGTGCCAGACATTTTTGTAACAATATAACACACTTGAATACTTAAATACTACTCATATTATAATTAATTTTTATTAACAGTGAAAGCTTTATTTAATACTGCATTAGTGTTCTTAAATGTTCAATGCAATATCAGTATTTTTAAAAAATTTTGCACTGCAGCACATATATATATATTTATTTCTTATGCAGCAAAAATACTGCAATCTGATTGGCTAATTACCCCGGTGTAAATAACACCCCACCTTGTTCACCCAAGGATAAATAAAATTTTGCCAAAAAATTTAAAAAAATGAAGTTTTGCCAAAATAAAGAAAAAAAAATATAAAATGTAAAAAAAAAAAAAAAATAAATAAATAAATGTGAGGACAAAAATTGAAAATAAAAAATTATTTAAATTTTTTTTTTCCAAAAAATTCAAAAGAACATAAAAAATTTCTAAATTTCCCAAAAATAAAGAAAAAATATATTTGACAATGCGCAGCAACATCGACGTTGAAAAAATGTTACACCGGAAATTTTTCATTACCACTTTTCAGTTTTACATCCTTGTTTAAAAATTAGTAAAGGAATTGTTCATAAGAAATAAATTCGTTATCTTGGTGTAATCAGGGGTGTACGGAATTTTACACCGTTGTTGAAAATTCATTCACCCATTCTGCTGCGCCTCAGGGTGTATGAATTTTCAACAACGGTGTAAAATTCTGTACACCCCTGATTACACCAAGATAACTAATAATATGCACCATGTGTAACCTTTTTAATTTACGACTTTAAAAAAATTAATTCTTATTTCTAAAAAAGTTAGTATAGAAAAGGTAACAGTTTAGTTTGTGAAATTTATGCTTTGAATTTTTTTCAAGTTTATCATTGACAGGATTTTGCAATCAATTCAGCAATTTCAAAACTAATTTAAAAGGTTTTTAAGACAGTTTATAAAAAAATGAAGTTCTGCTCCTGACTTTAACAAAACACCACAAAGCCAGTAAAGGTAAAATTTAAAATTATAAACAAAAAACAAAAATATCAACAAATTCATTTTTTATTACTTACCAACTCTGAAAAAAAATAGCATTAGTAAGAACACACCCTTAAACATTGTATAAATTTTTCATATTTAATTTCCTTTTTTAAATTTTTCACAACTTACTTTTAAGAAAATACATCATATATAGAATTCATTAAAATGTCGAATTCACATAAAAATTATACATTATATCTTGTACCATTGTCCAGCAGATTCTCAGTTAATATTTTTCTTCAAATTCTTAAATCAACAATGTTATTTTTTTCCTGTAAAATATATAATTAATGCTTTGGTTAATTCAAGTGATTTTTTAAATAGATAAATCCCGAGGCCAGAGCACTAGAATTTCTACCCCATGAACCAGTAGAT